GTCACGTTTAAAAATACCGCTTTTACAACTTTCCTGCGAATCTGCAAAGCTCTGCCTGAGGGGGCGAGCGAGCCGGGAGCGGTGTCTCGCAGCGCCTGGCAGGCAGTTTGGTTTTTTTGGTGGTCCCTTAAAATAGCAGGGATCTGCTGGGATCTTGCCGAGAAACGCGAAGGGCTGAGGCGGAGAGAGGAGCCGAGCTGGAGGGTGAACTGAAAGCCGGCTCATCCGGGGAGAACAAGATATTCTCCCCGGAGAGCTGGGTGTTTTGAGGGGGCGGCCGCAGGTGACGGCCGGGGGGCGGCGGGACATGGCCGAGGGCGTCCGAGGGGATACGTGGGGAAGAGAGAGGGCTCCTTCCCGGGAAAAGCCCCGGCACAGATCGGCAGACGGTGCCGGTTAACCTAAGGGCACCTGAGAGTAATGGTAACCTTCGCTGCCTGGAGGCGGGTTAGGGAAGGTAACTTCCTTAAAACCGCACTTCCTGACTGTTTATTTTCCCTTTCTACCTCAGGAATGGAGTTGAGCGTAAGATTAATCTGTACATGCTGTCTGGGCAGTCACAGTCGTAAACAGTGAGATGTGCGTTCATAGAGGTGTTGGGATTTTTTTGGACCGTTCTCACATTCTGTGTCTCCAGAGAAACCTGCAGCAGGGATTTTGGTGGTTCTTATGTACTTTACGTGTCAAATTTGAGGAGTACCTAAATACAAAGGTGCCTCTTCTAACTGCCAATTAGGTAGTACCAGTTTGAGGTCTGAATATTAAAATGTTCCTCTTCTGATTCATTCTTTGCTACCCGTGACAGTCCGGTGAGCCAGTTTCCCCAAGGCTGTGCCGGTGTTGCTCCATGGGCAAACTCTTCCATGAATGAAATGGTTAGTGGTTTTGGAAGTTAAGCCTCGATGTCTGTCTTGCAAACTTTTCTGCGTGGACAGACCTCTGCCTGTGTAACTTCTGTGAAGCCTATGAGTGTTCCATACTCAGGTGATGATCGGCAGGTATAAAGCATCGTGGGAAGTTGCCATAAATCTAGTTTAGCAAGGTGACTGGAAATACCAAGCTAAAACAGAATCAGGCTTGCAGTTCTGAAAGTCTGACAGTGCTGTGCTGCCTGAGATAATGTGATAATAACACTGAAAAATTGTTAAAGATCATAAAGTGAGCATTTTTGATACTACCTGTGAAGAAGGTAAATTGACCCAAGTGGGCTTTGTGTTGTTTTTTTTTTTTTTTTCCCAAGCTGTGTACTTTCACGAAGATAATGTCAGAAATTACCTTTTAAAAATAATCTTTGTAAGCTGTTACACTTGTACTTTTTGTTGTAGTTTTTCTGTGCAGAGCTGCATGGAAAGTGAGTTCAGGACATGTTTGAACTGTTGTGCTATGTCTTCATAGTTTTCAACTGTTTGTCTCTATTATGGATAAAAATACCTCCCAGACTTCTATGTGATCGTAATTTGGGTCAATTTTGCAAACTCTGAAAACTCCTTACATCTAAAAGTAGTGAAATCTGTAAAACTGACTGAACAGTGCATGTTTAAATTCATTTACCTAAACAGCTTTGATATGCTGAATGGAGTGTAAGAGTTTGTGTGAAAGAGGTTTTTGTTGGAAGGAGGGAGTTTTGAGCTGCTTTTAGAAATAGCAATTGGAAGTCATTTAAAGCATACTTGCATATATTTTTTTTTCAGCTGTAGGTGTGTAGAAACATTTGTACAATAATTCTTTTTTATTTTGTAGGGTTGATCCGTATGGGTTTGAAAGGCCAGACGACTTTGATTATGCATCCTATGAAGCATTCTTTTCCAGATATCTAGTGGTACTCACTAGAAGAGCAATAAAATGGTCCAAGCTCCTAAAGGGGAATAACAATATACAGAAGAGTTTAAAAGGTGAGCTGTGTATCTATTTATAGGTAAAAGTGCATTACGTTGTAATCAATATAAATTGTATTAAATTGTTTTGTGGTTTTGAATATTAAATGCTATTTTTATCTTCAATGAAAGATAGTATAATTGGTAATAATACATAAGTATGCTGTTGCAAGGGGAATCATTGGTTTGATTTAAAGCTTACAGAGGAGTAATCCTTCTTTGGCATACACTATATTACCTTATTACGTCTGTAACCTAGAGATTATGGCCACTGGCACGTCAAGATGCCATTTTACAGCAGTTTATTGTAGTGCACCCTGCTCTGTGCTGTTTTTAAAAAGGCATGAGATTCTGTAGAAGACACTGTCTTGAACTCCAGGGATCAGGATGTTAGGGCTCTCAGTTGCTGACTCTGATGGTTTTTTAGATTGCTAAGATTTTCTAGCTCTTCTTATCCTCCTTTTGTAAAATGACGTTCACCTCACCGCTAAAAAGGTGTGTACTAAGAACTGATGCTAAATGCCTTACGAGGTGAAGAAAGTAAAATTATTGCAAGAGCTAATGCAACGTTGAATAAAATGCTGATGGAATCATTAATGGCTGCTTCAAAAAGCAAGAAAACATCTAATAATGTTTTATCTTGCAAAAGAAAGAGGAAGAAATAAATGGAGGGAGTCAGAAGGTGGCAGGGAATCCTGCAAAACTAAAGGGTGGATTTTTTTTTTCCCCCTATTCTTTTTGTGGGATGAGAAGTACTTTTTTTCATATAAGCATCTAAATTTTCCTTTTTGCTTTTAATGATGCTGTTCACCTTGCTTTCTCTTTGGAGTCTTTTAGAGTTGGGCAGAGTTCTCTATAAGTAAGTTAAAGAAAAAGTGAGTAAAACTAAGAAAAAGTTCATCAGGCACCGACTGTAATGTAGTCAAATGTTTAGAGCTGTGCTTCAGGTGCAGACATTGCTAATTCTAGTGGTTTTGTTGTTTTGGGGTGGTTTTTTTTTTCTTGGTGCCAAGAATGGGATGATAACTAGTGAGACATTTTAACAGTGTATTTAGTGTATGGATGTCCGTTTTAAGGCTGAAGAATCCCAGAAAATGTCCGTTTAAGCTATAGGTGCTAGATCATGTGCTGCTAACTAGAAAATAGCTACTTCTACTCTCCTCTTTTTCTTCCGAATGTAAAGAAGCTTTTGGTTAGGGTGTCAAGTTTGAATATAGCGATAACCGTGTGGTATTTTGAATTAGCGAAGATTTTGGGATTCTGCAGAACTTAGTCTTCTAGTCGTTGTGGAAAAAAAAATCTCAGGTTTTAATCTATCTCCTTCTTCTCTTAAAATGTGCAAACTGTGACAATGGCAGCTTTTAGCAATTTCTGTGAGTTTATTAATGTTTCTCTTCCCTCGTGTAGCCTGTTCCAGCATTGTAGACACAGAACGCTACTGTGATACAAACTGTGTGAATGCATATGGTCTTATTTTGGAGCCAAAACTTTGTCCAAATCTCTCAGCTTGTCCACCAGGCTTCAGTACAGCTGGTCAAGCTGCCCCCCTAGCCGTGTAATGGCAATAACCATTGACACAGTTTTAATCGTCTCTAACAGGCTACTGTTTGTGGAAAAACGGGATACCATAAATCCACTGAGTGGACACAGGCAATGGCTTTTGACTGTAGCAAGCCCTTGTGAGCTTGTTCTTCATCTTTGGTGTTACTAACTTTTGCTAAAGATATTTGAATTTGTAGACTGTGCATTCTCATGTGTATGTATGTAATATGTAGTTTCAAGGAGAGTGGAATAAATAATGTTGAGGAAACGTAGTCTGAGTGTAAATTCAAAGTTGTTAAAATAAGCTTTCCTCGTTATCGACTGGTACCTCAGAAGAGGAGAGCAACAAGTTAACTTGTATGATTACTGATTTTTAAATACCTCCCTTCATATAGAATTATTAAGATTGAATCTGTGGCATAAGCACCTAGAATTATGTAAGCAGTTGTTTAGGCGTGTGCTTTATCCTGCAAGATGATCCTACAGCAATTTCCGTGCAGGCAGAGAGCAGAAGGTCTGCCTGGTGGTGCACTGAATTTCCCTCCTCCAGGGCCTGACTTCGTTGCTCTCAAGCTTTGCTCAGGAGCTGCTGGTTCTGATTAACGTCCCCTCTGCTGCAAGTCAGCCGTAAGCTGGAACCGAGAAGAATATTTGACTTGCCTCTTGCCCCTGAACACAATAACCATACCTGTGTACCTATATCCTTATTTTGAGTTCTACTGGGGGCTTTTCAAAATGCATCCTGCTGTGAATAGACGTGAGAGAGGCGTTGTACATGTGGTATCTCAGTAGCTCCACGCCCGTTTGCCTTTACATACGGAGAAGCTCATAATTCCTGTCTGGGTGAACAGGAAGGAGTGATGCTTGTGTTAATTTTCCAGTTTGGAAATGTGGCATGTTCACATGCTGCGGTGTTTGCATCATATCCAGAGTGATATGTATGTATATAATTCTGTTCTACTGTAAAGAAAAATAATTAGACTATGTTTTAACAACAGTAATTAAGCAGTGTATCCTGTTGTTCTGGATTACAGCCTTCCGGCAGGGCGGGTCATGGGAATTTTGGCTGACGGCTCCTTTTGCTCGTTCTTCAGTTTCTTCGTTTTTGTTATTTTCTGGTATTTTCTTTCCCCTTCTACCCATGTTATCTTCCCTGTCCTCTCTGCACATATGAATTTTCAGTCAATGTTTGGTCACTTGCCTTCTCTGTCTCTCTGCCATTATTGAGATCATCTTAATTTTTGCTTTTCTCCATTCAGCTGCTATCTTTCTGAGAGCAGAAAGCTGTGTTTTGGTCCAGCTTGTTTACAGGCGGGCGACAAACTGACATAATTGCTTGAAGTAGTTTAATTCTGACCGAAAGCATGCTACATAAAAGAATTTGACTGTAAGTGGATTAGTCAAAATTGACCAGTAGCAGAAGGTGCTTTCTAGTTTTTGAGGCTGGTAAAATATACAGCAAAAGGTGAAAGTAGTGTTACTAAACAGTGATTGTAACAGAAGCACTTCTGTTTCAGCCCAGGGGTTGGAGGAAGGAAGGAGCATCTTAGTCGGTTTTTGTGTTTGGCTGTAACTTGAACGTTTACAGCACAGATCTGCTTTGTTTCTTCTGTGATGTAGTCATAAAATAAAACTTTCAATTCCTTGATGCGTGCTGTTTTCAGCTCTTTTGTAGAATTTTTCCTCTAGGGTCCAAGTTGGTTTCCTCAGCATTCAACAGTAACTGTAACTTAAAAGTGCAGATGCTTCCCAGAGTCATACTTTTCTAATATTTTGGATGAGATAATTTTTGTTTTTAAATGGGGTTTCCCTATTACATAATCTTAGTCTATGGTGTAGTGTGAAACAATGTTAATCTGCATCTACAACTTTGTCTAGAAGGAAAAAACCTCCAAAATTATCATATTCTACCATTAAACAGGGACAGGCATGTTTAAAGTGATTTACTTACTTTTAAATCTTGTTACTGTAAGTAGTGCACAGTATTGGAAAGTTATTTTCTGCATATTTTTCTCTTGAAGTTACTTTGAATATTTGTCAGCACTTCTAGACTACTTCCCTATCATGTAGCTGTTTTTTCTTCTAACAAGAAAAACATATTAGTAAAGTGTGACTCTAAATGTGCAGAAACTGGCACCAGGTAATGGAATTACTAAGACTGCTTTTGTTTGCTTAAAAATTGATATTTTATGTTTTGTTAATAAGCAGAGGCAAAAATTTCACATAAAGATACTTCTTTACTACACATTTTAAAGCTTAGACTGTGTTGTGCACACTGTGGTTATTCTGGGAGCGATTTTGAGTGTGGATGCTGAGGGCGTGTATTTAGCAGTGCTACTTTTGAGATCCAGCCCTTGGTTTACAGTTGGAGTCGGATGTGTGGCTGGAGAGACATGCACAATCTGGCTTCATCTGCGAAAGCTTCTTAAATGTTACAGTGGGAGGATATTTTGCAGTGTGAACTGTTGGGGGCTTTTAAGTTCTTGAGGATAATGTGGAAGAGGGCCTATAGAAAACAAAATAAATACATATTTGTATAAAACAATATAGTTTTATTTATATAGTATGACATGTATATGTGTGTATATATAAAACAGACCTAATTGCAACCGTCCTTGTTTTCAGAACTACTTTGTTGCTTTGGTATGCCAGTTTGCAGATCCTGGCAAGAATGATAATGTTGTGAGAAAGAAAAGCACCATGTAAAAGGCTTTTCCATTCCTCAGGGAGTGGGGGAGCTGGGGTAGGTCATCACTTGGGGCAGTACAAGCCTCTGGCTGCCTATTACCATGAGAGCGATGACACTGAGGAATGATGAGTGTATGCTGTGCTGCAGGGCTGCTTTCCCCTTGTGCCAATGTCAAAGGCTTGTCTCTGCCTCTCTTGAATTTAATGTGTACTGTTGGATGTGGATGTTGGTTCTGCTTTCAGAATTGACAGTTATTTCAGAAAAAAAATACCACTGGAATTATATGTTAGAATATGATAATCCAGTAATTTAGTCAGCAAGTATGCTTCTAGAGACATGTGCAGGCTCATCTGAATGAGACATTCTTGTTGACCTAAATGGGACTGGTTCCTCATACTCATTCCTTCATTTGCTATATCCATCTGTAGGATTTCTTGAGCATTAGAGTTTAAAATCTTGCCAAAAAGATGAAGTAGGGATTATTAAATAGCCATGGAAACAAGTAAATTATTTCCAGTCTGTCCGAAAGAAGGTGTAATTAAAGTTACTTTACAGCTGAAACAGTAGAGACTGTAACCCATAGTATAAATCCTCAACAAAAAGCTAAACAAAAACTGTGCCCTGAAGGCCAGGTGTTTATTGCAAATGTCAAGGATAGGAGTGTTTCTTTGAGAGAACATACCAGTCTTTAGGTTGGTGAAACGACCATTATTGATGCACAGATCTCTCTGTTGACATTGGTAAAGCAGCTTTGGCTCCTAAAGGATAGGCAGCTGCAATTAAGTAGGAAGTATTTAGAAGGTGGCTGGCTGTTGTTGTAAAATCTTGTTTCACTCTGCTGTTTTTAAGGATTTAGTTCAGGCAGTGTTTATCTTGAGTTACAGATCTCAGTGATTGGATAAAACCAAGTTAGGTAATGATATTTTGTGTGTGTGGAATAAAAATCTCCACTCTCATTTGAGTCCCATAGAATTTAGAGACAAGAAATTGATATTCTAGTTGATACAGTCTCATTCATTTAGTAAGAAACATCTGATTCCTTTGCCAGTTTCTTCTCCCTGGAAAAAGCAGAAAGATCTCAAACATTTGGCTGCCTTTTTGGGTCAGAAGGGGTAATGCTGATTTATGATTATGTACCAATGAGCAGTAGGAGGAAGCTGCTTTGGCTGTCATTAGCCTGATGCTTCTTCCTGCAATCTTGCATCCTAGTTATTTACACTGAATCATCTGTCTAAAAACAAACAAACAAACCAAAGCACACCCTGATGATAAATATGATGCAATAGATAAAAGCTACTTTAGATTTGAAAAGACATCCCCAGTTATTTTAGGAAAAATCATCTGCTGCTCACTCGCATCTCCAGTTCATCCAGAGGCTCATTGAGATAGTAGCCACGTATTTCATATTTCTCAGTTTCTGTTATGATTTCTGTGCTTAGGTGCGAAGCTGAAATCCTAGGGTTACGTTAACACAGCCATTTATGCCAGAGCATAACCAAGCAAATGGAAAGGGCTGTCATGTCAGAGGCCATTGGTGATGTAGGGAAAGAAAAAGTCAGTGCTTGTCTGAATGAAAAAGGCAAAGGTTAAGAGGAGACTTTGTTCATATCTCCATCCGGAAAGGCAGGAAGAAGAGGAAAGGATTCAAAATCCGAATAGAGGAGGGAGGAAGGCCTGGGTCTGGAGATCTGTGTAGGGAGTCTGAGTGGCAAGAACTTAGGAGTGAATCTAAAATACACGGTGTAGCCGAAAAGGAAATGCTTATCCCAAATGATAGCATAGGGGAGAAAGAATAATAATCTCTAGTCAAGAGTTTTCAGATGACTTCTCAAATTTCTGTTGCTCATTTCCAAAAGAAAAATTCAACTGGATTATTTTTTTTTTTTTTTATAAACACTAAACTTCATGTTTTGCAGTGAAAAGATACATCAGGAAGGGCATCCCCAATGAACACCGTGCATTGATCTGGATGATTGTGAGTGGGGCCCAAACCAACATGGAACAAAACCCTGGATATTACCACAGACTGCTTGAAGGAGAGAAGAATGACAAGCTGATTGAAGCAATCAAAACAGGTTATTGTCTTGGTAACACTGTTTCTGTCCTGTGTCCTTAAATGTTAGAGATCAGATTATGTCATGGAAAATTTATGTTTCTGTAGTAGTGGTTTAAGTGCCAAATTAACATGTAAATTAGATTAGCCATAAGCTCTTTAACAGCACAGATCTTTCCAGGTTCATCATGTGGTCAAAAACATGAAGGAAGATTAGAAATTATTTGGGAAGAAACAGAGAAAAAGCTAGAAGACATTATTAGTCGTCTTCTAAGTGGATGATGCGTTACAACTTTGTACCATGAGACCTGCATTTGGGTTTGTTTCTCCTTGCTTCTGTCCCAGTAGGACACTGGAAGAGCAGCAAGGATGGTTGAAGATGTGGTACCCTGTCTGTCTGACGCAAATTAAGTACGTTAGGATTTCAGCTTGAGGGAAAAATATTGCTGAGGAAAAAGCTGCTGATAGGGCTATATGAATTAGAAGTGGTGTAGAGAGGGTGAATGGGGAGCAATTGTTCCAAGAAACGACTAACATAAGAACTAAGGACACTGAATGAAATGTACCATGCTGCAGGTTTAGAAGAGCACATCACTGAACTGTGACACTTGTTGCTGGAGGGTGCTGCGGGGGCCAAAAATATGAATGGTTTAAAAAGGAGTTTGAGGGGTGGGGAAATCCACCTGATGCATGAAATCCTAAATGGTAGATATAAATCCCTGAAAGAAGGGAAGCATAGGAGGAGAAATACCCCTTCTCTACTAATCCAGTTTCATATGCACTGACTGTGAACATTGATCACCAATGCTGGTGACAGGATATTAGGGCAACCAGACCTTAGACTGACTCCCTGGGTGTTTAAAAGAAGCAATGGGGGAGGACAAGCAAGTACAAGTTTGATGTAACTGATATTTATCCTGAAACTTTTCAACCTGCTGCAGCAGAGCTTTTGTAGAGAAGCTGATATTGGCTGAATTCCCCAATTAATCTGTCAAGAGGTTGAGCTGTGCTTTGGGCAAGCACAATGCTGAAGTTGTTTCGTTAGAGTAGTAGGCACAGTTGTCATCTTGTTCTTCTTGAAAAAGCCAGCTAGTTAAACTTGGGGCTTTGCAGATTTTATTTGAGTTGGATAACTGACTGAACACTTCTTGATTTATGCTGAGTTTTGCCTTTGCCTCTCCCTGCTCCCACCCCCAAAAAGCAGCGGCAGGACTGTGGGCTTTTGGGACTACACACCTCTGTAAGGCATTTTGGAACATAAACAGTCGCGTTCCTGTGAATATGAAGACTAGCCAGAAATCTTCAGGCTCATATCTTACTCAGAACTAGAAACATTAGAGCTCCAAGCTTATGAATACAGATGGAGCTACTAAGATGACTTTCCAAAGCCAGCCTTCCTAAGGGCCTGGAGAAGCAGCAGACTGTATTCAGGCGAGGTATAATTGCTGCAAGAAGGAGTTACAATTTCTTTTCCAGTACTAGACAATAACACGAAGGGTTATGTGACAGCAGGTGGCTTTCCACACAGGTTATACTGTAAAATAAAAATATTTCTGGGAGGGAGGAAAAATAATCGAAGATGATAAAAGTCTGTGAATAAAAGTGAATTACGGAAGGAATAAAGTTTTGGAAGAGCTACCGCATGGATTGAAAAACTGCAGAAGAGAAAACTAACAAGGAGCAAGCGAGAGAAGGGATAAAGAAAAGTGAGTTGAAGAGTTTTATTGGAGGAAAAAAATAAAAAGAGGACCTCAAACACCAAAGTGACAGATTTCCCTTCAGAAAGGAAGAAACAATGTGAACATATGAGGAAGGGAAGGAGCAAAGCACTTAAAGTGATGGAAACTTTGTGTTTAATAAACTGAGTGCTCCTGTTGACTGCAAACTTTTTAGGTTGGCCTCAGCTGTGGACTGTTTCAGTGTGAAATGATGTCTGACATTCAGTTTGTTTCTGCCTGTCTTCTTTTCCCATCACTGGAGTTGTTTTTAACAGTAAACTAGAGTAAGATGTGGAATCTTGCTGCCATTCACTTCTCGTATCTGCGGTTTCCAAAATTTTTAGGCAGTTGTGCTGCATTTAGTCTTGTGGTCTAGCTGTAAAGCAACAGCCCAGGACAATGCTGCAGTTTAGAAACGAGAGAACAGCAACCATGCTTTCTGTTTTGTTCAGGGGGAGGGGCAAGGGGACAAGGCCAACCAAAGACTTTATTTCAAATTCAGTTTAAAACATTTGTAAGAGCCAAGATTTCCTGTTTCTTTCACATGCCCAGAAGCGCCAAACAATTTTCATGTACATTTGGAACTTATTCTCAATATAAGAATGTCTTTAATGGGATATAATCATGTTAAAAAGTGCAGGTAGACTGTGTAGATAAATGGCCTAATCTTTAAAGAAAAATCTGATTAGTAATAGCAATAAAAGTCTTTCAGCTAAATAAATCTAAATTGTCCTTTCACTTTTTTTGCCCTTTAACTTGCTGATTCTTCACTGATGGACTTTATTGCTGATTTTGTTTTATGTGATGCTTGCTGTTCAAACGTTATTTAAAAAAAAAAAATGTAAGAGAGCAGAGTTTTTGTTCTAAACATATAAGTAAGAGCTTAAAGAATGCAAGTCTCTAAATCTTGATGGAAATTTTCAGGTTTAGTTTACGCACATGTTTAGAAGGGCATGCATTCTTACTGACCTTTGTTGTTCATTCCCTGTTATAATAAAGTTTAGTAGGACAAATGATGTTGGCAGAATAAAATGTGGGTGACCTCCTAATGCAAAGGTTAATTGTTGGCTACCAAAAGGCTGGGATGTAAGTTGACATAGCTTCCTGCAGTAAGCCCCCCTTGGGCTAGGCTGTTGAATTTCAGAGTATGTCTGTGTATACAAGTCTTCTCAGATGCACATGCAGCTAACATCCACGTTTCCACTCTTGTGTTTCATGAGGAGGAGCTGTAGGTGTTGAGAAACCCAGAATCTGATATTTATCAATCAGTTCCTTGAGCCTGCTCTGTGCCTTGTGACCAATGGCACAAGGATCTGGCCGCCTGGATTGGATATTAGTTGCAGGATCTTGGTTTAGTTCATGATGGGTTCAGAAAAGTAATTCAAACAATAGCCATTGCTGCTTCACTGGAGACAGTGAATGTTTTACTATCAAAACACTAATAAGCTTCTCTGAATGGAGTTAAACTATCAGTGAAGGTTGGGAATTTTCACTTGCGTTTAGGGCATTTAACCGTGCAAGAACAAAGGAAACAGCTGTGTCAGCTCTTCTGACTCTCTGTAAGAGGGGCTGTATCAGGTCATGTCCAAATGGCTTCCTCATCTGGTCTTCTAGGTGCCAGAACAGCTAAAGGAAGAACTGGAGGACTAAAGTGTACAGTGATACTTCCTCAGAATGTTTTTCCTAGTCTCCATTTACCTGTTTGTAAATGAGAGGAGTTCCTGAGTCATGTGCTGGATGTTTGTAGTTAATAACACTGGATGGGGGAAAAAAAAACCAACACAAAAAACCTCTGGTTGCTCCTTTTTCATGTAATTTACCTTACTCATGATTTTGCAAATTTGTGCTGTCTTGCTTATAAGCATCTCCCTCCAAATGAAGGAGCTCTAATTCATCTTGGTTTATGCTATGGATGGTAGCCATTTCATACCTGTGATCTTCCTTGTTGCTGTTCTCTTCTGCAATTTCTCCAATTCTGATATAATCTTTTGGAGATGAAGGGGACTGGAATTTATGCAGGTGCTTCTCAGATTTATACAGTGGCATTATTGTTCTTTTGTAGGAAATCCTAACAGTTTGCTTTCTTGATTGCTGCAAGCTATTGAACTGTTACTCAGCACTGGTAATGAGGGGTGTCAGACTCAGTTTCTCTAGCCTTAGTTGACAGCAAAGTTGATCTTAACTTAAAAAACAAAACAAAAACCCCACAAACCTCCAAAACAATAGTTCCAGGTGCTGCAGGGAAAAGCTTGAAGATGAATCCTAAATATCCAGTTATAAAAAAAAAAATAATTAAAATACCCTTAAAGTATATTATTTTTATAAGTTGTAATTGATGGCCTAACCTGATTATTCTGGAGGTTTGCAGTGGAGTTTCTGAATGCTTGTAGTTGGCAGTTGAGGTGAATTTTTGTTCTGTTCTTTACTAAGCAAAAAACAAAACAAAAAAAAAAAACACACAAAAAAAAAAACTTAAAAAAATTACCTGCCTGGAAGCTATTAGGAGCAGATACAAGTTACAGATGTAGCAGTAGCAAAGAAGTGACTGTAAGTGGAGTAGAGGCTGTTAGTTATAAAAATACTTGTGTAATTTACTGGGCACTGGGTCTGGGAGCGGGAAGCACCTGGATATGAAGGTAAGAACAGAAAGGATGGGATAGTAAGATGAAGGTTGACTTGTGGGTGCCTGACTTTTGAAGTACTCTAAATGTGAAAAGCACAAGACTGATACAAAAACATTAGTTTTCTGGACTGCCCGTTTAAATCTGTTTGCTCCAGAAATAGCATCAACAATTGTGATTCCGGGTACTAAAATAGATGTTTATTTTCTAAACTCAGGCTAGTGTGGCTTTCTGCTTATGTTCGTATTGCTGAACGAGAGGCAGAAATACTGCAGACCTGTGAAAGAGAAGAAGAGCTAGTGGTCTTGTCATGGTTGCTGCACAGAGATAAATCAACAGGAAAGTAAAGCTGTTGGTTTTGTTTCACAGCAGCAAAACACTGCCACCTCACAGCACTGAAAGATCATCTTCAAAACAAAGCCCAAACACAACTATTGGGATTTAATCTGAATTTACTGCAAAGGAGTAGCTAGTCTTTTCTTTGTGGCTTTCTTCCTGGTCCCATGCTCCTATACCTAGTTTGCAGATCTGCAAGCAGCCACAAGATGGTCATTGTTCTGGGATTTACCTAGCAGTATGAAGTTCTAATGTTTGTTTCCCTGCTTGAAAACAATTCTGATTTTTTTTCCTCAAACCGGACTAGTTGGAGGTTGTGTTCCTTTGGATGCTAACGTCTACCAAGGTCAGAGGGTGGGCTGTGTGGAGGGGCAGAAGGAGTTGTTGAGACATTTCCTCTGGGACAGGTGTAGTAAAGTGGGGGTAAATGCTCAAGTCAACTGAACGGCTCTCACCTGCTCCTGCTGTTTGCCTCAAGTCATCTCTGGCAGTTGTCTTGTAGCATGGTAAAACGTATCGATTTGTGCGTCCTTGGGGAGCAGGTTGACATCCCTCACCTTGCAGAAGAGCCTCAGAGCTGGAGGAAGAGGGAGAAGAGCGTGCAGAGGAAGCAGAAAGAGGAGGCTGGAGAGGAAGCAGGACACAATGCTTTTGGTACACTCAAGATAATAATCTGGCAGAAGGAGTCCAGTGAGATCATGCCCCATGTCTTTTACTAAGGGTAAAGACTTCTAGCTCTTGTATCTTGTTCTTGTTCTGCTGCCCCCTCACTTCCCCCCCGCCCCCCCCAAAGTACTGTTACTAAATATAAAGAAAAGTTTAAAGTCCTTCATAAAATTAGGAAAGACTTCTCCCAGTCCTTGTGGGGGAAAACATGCTTTGCAGTCAGAAAGCAAATTGGAGCTGATTCTCTCAACTGCAGGCCTTCCTCAGGTTGTGAAACTAAAGGTGAGTTCAGTTCGAGTACTCTCTGGTCTGTATGTGATGGCCTTTTCCTACTGCCCCTTTGCCTTTATTCTAAATAGCTGATGGGAAGAGCCATAATGGAAATGTCAGTATTAATCTTTTCTCTAACATCCAGCATATACCTTCATAAACAACAAATTCTGATTCTGTAAGTTCTGTATTGCTCTTCCTACCAAGAAGAAACAAAACAAATGTATTTATGGTATAACTGTCTGACTGTTGCTCAAGTCCTTTTAAAAATTGTCTTTTTCCTTGTATTTTTCTTTTCTGTCACATGGGAGATGAAGTGAAATATTCTCCTGCCCTCCCATTTCTGTAAATGATTTCTTCACTTTTAAAAGGAAGAAATAGTGATTAGTATTACAACTTTTAGATGCTTGTGACTTCCATGACACTGATGATGATTTTGAGGTGCTTTCTTCCTTTGGTTGCTTACAGTTCAACTTTGTGTCAAAGCTGTAACAGACTTCTTCCTTTATGCAGGAAAACTGCTAAGAAGTGATAACTCCTAGGACATAAATATCTGAACAGTAGTGCCGTTACTGAATTTTATTTGTTTTTAAACTCTGACCCAATTTTTTGTCATTGTTAAATATAACCAAAACAACTGTTTGCATTTTATTAATAACTCTTGGATTTTGAAAATTGTCAAAGATGCTTTTGAATAGGATTTTTTTTCCCCAACTTAAACTTCTAAAAAATCAGATGCACAGGTCTGGATTAGTGACCTTGGGTTCCCTCTTTATAGAGTGAAGCAGGCCAAAAATTAACTCTGTTTTCCAACAACTAAAGGGAGTTTTGAGTGGCTAGCTCAAACTTGTGTGTCTAATTTTTAGATCTTTGTAAGGAGAGATGAGTCCTACTATTCATGTTTGATCTGGAAGAAATGAATGTTTTGAAATGTCAGTAATTGCATAGTCCTTACTTGGTTTAGGATTGAACTTGAAGCATGTGCTTTTGAACTTGAAACTTGTGCTTTTGCTGCTTGGATATCAAAAATAACTCCCTTTCTCAATGATCTTGCATCAATGAAGAAATAATTTTTCTCATGGTTACATCATGGAGAAACTTACAAAAATTAATATACCATGATTTTAAGTGGAAGCTACTAGTTGCAGGAACAGGACTTTTTTCTTTTTTTTTTAGCTGTGTAGGACTGTTTGGTAGAAGTTCACCAAGTAAGTCAATTGAAAGTTCATCTGATTTGTTACGAGAATGTGCTTTCCTAGAGGTTTAGCTCATTTCATGCCAGATAAACTAGTTAGATAAATTTGGTATGTGTTGTTTTTGTCAGTCTAAATGTCTGGTTTGCTTTCATTTAAGCCTTTGCAGTCACACATTGAGAGTCCAACCTGCAACAGAATTTCTTTAGTCCTGCTTGAAATTGATTTCTGTACACTAATAGGATTAATCTTTCTAGGAATAGATTATCCTTGAATGCAGATGGACTTTTAGCCAAAGTGGAGGTAAAGCTGTTTCTTAAAATTAATCCACCAAAACTACAGTTTTAGTGAGCCTTAGTGCAGTTTAAGTTGTACATCAGGAAGGCTGTAGAAGTTTGTTTGGAAAGTGAAGGAGGAAACAGCTCTCAATTTTGGCCTTTTTTCCCTTTTGTCTAGACATGAACAGAACATTTCCAGATAACGTAAAATTCCGCAAAACTGCTGATCCGTGTTTGCAGAATACACTCTACAACGTATTGGTAGCATATGGACATCATAATAAAGCAGTAGGATATTGTCAGGTATGTAATCACTGCTTTTTAAATAATGCTGAATTTCACCAATGGCAATTGTTCTTGTCCATTTGAATGTGCATTTTTAGAGGCAGATCCACAAACGTTCTGTTTTTAAAATAGCCCTGGGGACAGAATAAACGAATCGCTTCAGGCAAGTTCAAATGTCCTTGTGAGTTTCTCCACAGCCTTTTTTGTAGCTTACTTGATCATGTTTAGTTTCATTTGTTAGCTGCAAAATGAATGTTTTGTCACACATGCTTGCATGAACTTGCCTTTCCCTTTTCCTCCCTCCTGCCATCTTTCTCAAAACAGTCCTCGGTGTGTACGAAGCATCATGAGATCTGTTTCCTTTGTTTTCACTGTCACATTTTTCAAAACACAGGAAGACGAGCATTCATGCGACATCATGTAGTTGGAGGGGCAGCAGCATTTATTTGGTGCCATTTCCCAGTATAGACAGGCAAGTAGGAAGATGGTTTGTTTGAAATTCAACCTGATACTGCTTAGATGACAACTCAAACTCCTGTCATCACTGCCAAGTACTGTAAAGTTTCACGTGGGACACAAGATAAAAGTTGATTCATGACAATCGGGAACAAAGAGGCCATCATTAAGGACCATAAAGAAGCACAAACTGTCATGAGCAAAATGTGTTATCACCAAGGATATGTGCAGTAACCTATACTTTGTTAGTTTGAGGAAGTTAGTACAGTAAATACAGCTGTTCCAAAGTTAAGAGAATATGAAGTATATTTATTGAAATCTGGAGAGAAGATTTACAGGAACTTAAACCTAGACTGATGTCACTGAAACAAATTCTTTTTGTGCATCCCAACTAGTTTCACTCCCATTTTTCAAATAATTTCTGTAGTAAAAGTTGAATTATTTGTGTTATTTTAAGTATATGTATTTATTAAAATGGTTAATATTTTGAGAATAATAGAAGAGGTAGAATTGTGAATGCTCCCTTTTTCAAGTGTCAGGCTTTTATATAGAGGTAGCTATACACACAAATGTGTACAACTTCTATAACCTGCTAGCTTCTACCCAAAATATATGTCTCATTGTTACTAAGAAGTTTTAGTACAGTTACTATTTAATCAGTGGGCTAATATTTTCATTTTAACTAAGCATTATGAACACTGGAGATGAAAGAAGACAACTTAAAAATGTGATTCCTCTTGACCTTTGGTCTCCTCACAGAATGAATATTATCTATTGTGTCTAAATAATTTGATCATAAACCAAAAGCCAGCATTGGCTTTCCAAGGCATGTCATAAATCAAGAAAAGATTCAGGAAATCATGAAGTCTGAAACAGCAGACTTCATCAAGATAGATGTGGTGATACCTGCTGCATGACAGGAGAGACCTTGCAAACACTAGAAAATTCGGAGTGAAAAATGGAATTTTTAAAGTGTTTTGCAGAGCTTTTACTGACTGAATGCTCTTCAGTGGATGTTTCCATAATGCTGGTGCACTTGTGGTACTTACACTCCCAGATAGGAGACTTCAATGCTAGTATTAGGCTTTGCATTGTTATGCTGTGACACTGGTACAGCATTGCCTACCCTGGTATAACCAGGGAAATTCAATGTCCTGGCAGCCTATGCACCGCACTAGCTTTTTGTGCATGCCACATTACATGCCAGGCAGTCTCTTGTAACTGCAGATGCAATTGCTGAGCTAACTGTCAGCATGGTAACAAACGGTTGCTCTCCTAGCTAGAAGGCCAAGCAGCACGTAAGGCCATGCAAGGTCTATCCAAGCCCTTTGTGTAGCAACTGCTAGTGACTCAAAGCTTGAAAATGAAACAATGGAGAAGATGCGCAGTGTCTCAATATTTCCATGTTCTGGGAGTGTTGCAAGGCCTTCTGAGATGGGACAAGTGAGTCTAAGCTGTTGAATGCAAGAAATGAGATCTTGGTTCAGAGAGGAAGTGGTAGCTTCCAGAGGCTGTGAAGGGTGTTCTTTTTGGTAGCTGTCATCTGGCTTGCAGCTGTCATTGGCAGCACTGCAGGGTACAGTGCTGGAGCACCTCTGCTTTGAAGACAGGCTGAGAGAGTTGGGGCTGTTCAGCCTGGAGAAGAGAAGGCTCCGGGGTGACCTTATTGCAGCCTTCCAGTACTTAAAGGGGGCCTACAGGAAACCTGGAGAGGGACTTTTTACAAGGGTATGTAGTGATAGGACAAGGGGCAATGGCTTTAAACTGAAAGAGGGCAGATCTACATTAGATATAAGGAAGAAATTTTTCACTCAGAGGGTGGTGAGGCAGTGGAACAGGTTGCCCAGAGCAGTTGTGGATGCCCCATCCCTGGAAGTGTTCAAGGCCAGGTTGGATGAGGCTTTGGTCAACCTGGTGTAGTGAAGGGTTTACCTGCCCATGGCAGGGGGGGTTGGAACTAGATGATCTCTGAGGTTCCTTCCAACCATAACCATTCTATGATTCTATGATACACAGAGGCGGTGGTGCTGCCTGTGCCGATAGACATGCTGGAGAAGTCAAGCTTGGAGGGACAAAGAACAGGGAAAAGGCCAAAGAAAGGGATGAAATGATGGCAATGTAACCAACACCAGCCTTCATAGCCTGTGAATGTTTAAAGATAATTTTCTGTTAGCTTAAGAAGACTTTGGGGGGCTTGCACTTCAGAGGCAGCTTTTGTACATTGTCATACTGATGTGCTGTCCATGTTATTACAGTTGTCAGCTTGTTTACTATGGAAAAACATACTTAAATGCTTAAGAGTGGACTACCGTGCATATAAATCAGTAATATTGCCATAACTTAGCAGTGTTACGGTGGGTACAAGAAAAAAGTGCCTGAGACAGAGGCAGTGTGTTTACCAGTTTGTGACCCGCGTGTTCTGTATGTCAGTGTTGGTAACAGTTACAAAAACTGCACAGTTTGAATTTGGCCAGTCATGACTTGACTTTTCACAAATTTTCCGGTGGCTCTTCCAGTCCCGTCATCCCCTGGTGTTTACCTTCTGTTTGCATGTTGAAGGGCAGAAGCTATAGTGGCCAGTCATTGGGACTAGCCTGTGGTGTACTAGAGGTATTATGGAAGCAAATGGTTTGTATGCAGTCATTTGACGAGTTAGGTGCAACAGCTTGTAAGAGCTGCTGGAGCTGCAGCTTTTTACTGAAGAGCGTTTGGGTCAGGCATTCTCCTTCTACAGCCGCACCATTTACCTGCAGGTGTATTGTGTTGGTTCTGCACAGCTAAGGCAGCTGAGTTTTGGTTCTGGTCAAAGCAGTTTTTGGTTATGTTGGGACAGAGCTTTGGGATTTAAAAAAAAATAAAGGAAAATTGAAGGTAAATGATAGACTACTTAAGCTTTTTCTTCTAATTTTCCTCTCCTTGATCTTTGTTAATAATTCTTGTTAGCTGTCATCATGCAGGTTTAACAGCTTATTCAACCTGTGGCTTTTATTACGAGGTTTTACTTCATATGTCCACTTTGTAGAACTGTAGTAATTTAGCCCTTAATCAAAAGAAATAAACTAGAAAAATCTGAAGATAAGTATATGCATCTTAAAACCCTTCTTTCTATCTCAGGGCATGAACTTCATAGCTGGATACCTGATTCTTATTACAAAGAATGAAGAGGAGTCCTTTTGGTTGCTGGATGCTCTCATTGGAAGAATATTGCCTGGTACGCTAAAAATATATAATTGTATTCCTGTATTGGAGGTCGGCTTTTTATTTTATCTTTGTATTCTTCATTTATAGAGGTTTTAGATGTTAAAATGGACTTGCATGGACTGAAGATTTTTTTAAGGTCCTGGAAACACAGGTCAAAGAGCACACAGGCAAAACTCCTCTGTTTTATAGTCAGATTTTAGTCTTTGATGTAGTGGTTTATGTGTATGTTAATTTGCAGTCTCACTTCTCACTCCCTACTTGTACCTGTTAGGTAGATTTCTTCCTATATCAGTATGATGCTGGGGAACAGGACTTGTAAAGGTGTCTGGGATTTGGCAATTCTGGTTGCAGGAATATGATATGAAACACAGATGAAGCAGTGATTGTAGAGCAGAGTGGAAATGGGAGATGTGCACAGTTTGAGCACTGAGCTTAAAGTAGGAATTGACGGTAAGAGGGCAAGAGGGCAGCATGAACTTTCGTCAGAGGTATCTGGCAAGGTGGTGGTAGTTTCTGCTGTCCTCTGCTCCCGAGTGGAAAATACCTTGGGCAGTTTACGGATCGTGATTTTTGCAGCAAAGCAAACAAATGCCAAAATCCCTGTCTGTGTCTGTGTGGGAGGTTCTTGTCAAAGCTCTGTTATAATCAGTGGTGATCTAGCCAGGCTGGTCAAAAGAGACTAGAGGGAAATTCAGCACACCCTAAGCCATAGACAATATCTACATCTAGGCGG